AATTCAATTATTTTCATAAATAATAAAACATTTTATAGGAATTCAATTATTTTCATAAATAATAAAACACATTGCAGAATTTCAATTATTTTAAATACAATTTTAATCGAATTTCTCAAAAAATGTATTAAAATTCGTCAAAAGAATTCAATTACTTAAAAAGTTGTCTATAAGCTTGTATTCAAATAATTGAATTCTCGTAGAATTATTTAATAAAAATTGATTTGCAAATGAATTCCAGTTAAAATTTTAAAATTATATTTTAATTCCTTTTTTTATAATTATATATTAATTTAATACAAATAAATAAAATTTTATTTTTTGTTTAATATTTTGAAGAATCTATTAAATTATTTTTTAAATTGTTTAATATTAAAATGAATGTATTAAAATGTAATCGTATTAACATTACTATTATTATAATTTATTTAGAATTATTATATTATTTATTTACTTATTCAATTTTTTTTTATTATTATTATTACACTGAAAAAAAAATTCGTCAGAATGTGCTTTTTTCTTCAAGCAATTTTTGACTAAGAACAAAAGCAAACAGTCGTAATTTTTGTTTAAACACCATAAACAATTGCTTTTTTAATTTGTTTCGTTATCAAAACATTTTTCTTTTTACATATTCCATTCATTTGTTAGAAAATTGATATTCATTTATTTTCAGTTGCTGAATACAGATATCAATTTTCGATATTTTTTTCCAAATAGTTAGAACTTTTATTACAATTGCAATTTTTAAAATTAAAAATATTTGTCCTAAAATTGTTCACTTTTAGTGTTAAATATAAAAAGCAATTTTAAAAACGCTTCAAATATTGAGGAAAATGAGGAAAAGTTAGACAGCACTGCTGGGCGCCTGGACACATAGGCCTTTCTTCACCGTCCGTGTGTTCCAATAAATAACGGCGCGCTCTTGCGCTTTTGTACAGTTATTGTCTGACATTTATTCTATGCACTTCGTGGAGGTTACAGTCAAAATTATAAATTCATGTATTAAATTTAGTTTTTTTACTTTATTTATAACTAAGATAATTTACTGAAATATCGCAAACTAAAATATCCCATTAGTAAAAAAGGACCGATATACAATTTTTCCTTATTTTCTTACCAGTGAAATTTTTTAATTAGTTTATTCACCAGCAGGACCCTCTCATCATATCCAGATTAATCATCTTAGTTTATAATTATAACAATATTTTTATAATTGTAAACTAATTGATTTATAGTCACATAAATTGTAAGTATTTATTTTTTTATAATTATGATGATTCTTAAACAAAAATGATAAATATTCAATTGTAAGAATTATAAAATACATATTAACTACTGACTGCAGCGCTTTATTATTATGGGAGAATTGGAAACATTGTCGTCATCAAACCACGAGTTTATTAGTGAAAAACTTTTCCCTTGAAAAAGTTATTTAAATCATATATTAAAATATTTAATTAAATAAACCAAATGAAAAATCTATTTCAATTATTAATCTTTTAAGAATTCGACATAACAGTAAAAAATGTGTTTTTAATTAACATTAAAACAAATTTTTGAAATTACCAGACTGGAAAATATTTATTTAATTTAGATCAAAATTATTTCATTCAAGTAAATATTAATTTAATTACAGACATGTAATCTGTTATTTGAATCAACAAAATTTTTCTTTTAGTTTAGCCGCATAGATGGTAGAAAAAAAAACAATTTATTCGGAACGTATTAATTTGAAAAGTTCTTAAACAAAAGTTAAATTAAAAACTATATATGTTTTTGACAGAGAACTCTCGGCTACAGGAGGCAAAAACATCTGAGTAGTGCGCGCTTTCACAGAAAATTTTTTCCAATGATACGCAACTGTGCTATTGCAGCAATCTGATTAGTGCGCTCCATTTAAACCTGCTCTCCAAAACGACAGCGATAAAAGGAGATGCAACCAATTGGAAAAATAATATTAAACTACAATTTTAGTGTAAGATAAGTAAAAATAAAAATATAAATTTTAAACAAATATTGAAAGTGAATAATTAATTGAAACTAAGAACATTATTTCTAAATGGTTACATCTCCTTTTATCGCTGTCGTTTAGAGTGCATATTTAAAAGGAGCGCACCAATCAGATTGCTGCAATAGCACAGTTGCGAAACATTGGGAAAAATTTTCTGCGAAAGCGCGCACCAATCATATTATAGTATTTTTACTGTTGCCTCGCGTAGCCGAGAATTCTGTGACAAAAATATATATATTTCTTAATTTACCTTCTGCTAAATTCAATTATTTTCAATAGCTACTATTTTATTACACTTTCTGTAAACAATTCCATTATTTAAGAAAAAAATTCCAAAGAAATCAATTATTTTTAATAATTTTAATATAATTATTTTATATAAATTTAATTATATTTAATACTAAGAAAACATTTTGTAATTTTCTTCATGAGAATTCATTTTTAGAAATTTTTGTTTCTATCTATTTTTTATTTTTCTGTTTAATAATTGAATTTTCTAAAAAATTTCTAATAAAAATTGATTGATATTAAGTTAAGAGTAGGTGTTTGCATTCAGGTTTACGTTCTGAATAAATTTTTTTCTTTTCCATATATGTAGCTACACTAAAAGAAAAATTTATTTAATTTAAACAACAGATTACATTACTTGATTTGCCACCAGGACCCTCATCATATCTAGATTAATCATCTTAAAGATGATAAAATTTTTACTGTAACCTCTGCGAAGTGCCAAGAATAACTGTCAGGCAATAACTGTACGAAAGCGCAAGAGCGCGCGGTTATTTATTGTAACACACGGACGGTGAAGAAAGGCCTATGTGTCCAGGCGCCCCGCAGTGCTGTCTAACATTTCCTCGTTTTTGTGAATATTTGAAGAGTTTTTAAAATTGCTTTTTATTTTTAACACTAAAAGTGAACAATTTTAGAACGAATATTTTCAATTTTGAAAATTGCAATTGTAATAAAATTTTTAACAATTTGGAAAAAAATGTCGAAAATTGATATCTGTATTTAGCAACTGAAAATAAATGATTATTAATTTTCCAACAAATGAATGGAAAACGTAAAAAGAAAAATGTTTTGATAACGAAATAAATTGAAAACAAACAATTGTTTATGGTAATTAAACAAAAATTATGATTGCTTATTACAGAATATATTAATTTCAATATTAATTGTAATTTTTATTTATATATTTAATTTTACTTATTTTATACTAAAATTGTAATTTAATATTATTTTTCCAAATGGTTGCATCTCCTTTTATCGCTATCGTTTTGGAGCGCAGGTTTAAAAGGAGCGCACTAGTCAGATTGCTACTATAGCACAGCTGTGTAGCACTGAAAAAAAAATTCCTGCGAAAAAGCGCACCAATCAGACTACAGTATTTCTACTGTTGCCTGGCGTAGCCAAGAATTCTATTTCTATGACAAAAATATATATATTTTTTTTAATTCAACTCTTCTTAACGAACTTTTGAATTACTCCGTTTAAAAGAAATTTGTTATCTAATACTATCATCTATCAGACTGCACTGAAAGAAAAATTTATTTGATTCAATTAATTAATTGCTTTAAATACTAAAAATAATTTGGTGAAATACAATCTATTTCTTTTAAATAAAAATTATTTCATTCAAATAAATATTTATTTGATAACAGACAAGTAATCTATTATTTGAATCAAATAAACTTTTCTTTCAGTGTAGTCTGATAGATGGTAGTATTAGATAAAAAATTTCTTTAGAACGTAGTAATTCAAAAGTTCTATACCAAGAGTTGAATTAAAGAAATATATATATATATTTTTGTCATAGAAATAGATTAATTCTTGGCTACGCCAGGCAACTGTAGAAATACTATAATCTGATTGGTGCGAGCTTTCGCAGGAATTTTTTTTCAATGCTACACAGATGCGCTATTGCAGCAATCTGATTAGTGCAAACATTTTGAAAAATAATATTAAACTATACAATTTTAGTATAAAATAAGTAAAATTAAATTTATATAAATAAAAATTACAAATAAATATTAAAATTAATATTTTCTGTAATAAACAATCGTAATTTTTGTTTAATTACCATAAACAATTGTTTGTTTTCAATTGGTTTCGTTATCAAAACATTTTTCTTTTTACGTATTCCATTCATTTGTTAGAAAATTGATAATCATTTATTTTCAGTTGCTAAATACTGATATCAATTTTCGACAATTTTTTCCAAATTGTTAGAAATTTTATTACAATTGCAATTTTTAAAATTGAAAATATTTGTTCTAAAATTGTTCACTTTTAGTGTTAAAAATAAAAAGCAATTTTAAAAACGCTTCAAATATTGACAAAAACGAGGAAAAGTTAGATAGCACTGGACACATAGGCCTTTCTTCACCGTCCGTGTGTTCCAATAAATAACGGCGCGCTCTTGCGCTTTCGTACAGTTATTGTCTGACAGTTATTCTGTACACTTCGCGGAGGTTACAGTAAAAATTATAAATTCATGTATTAAATTTATTTTTTTACTTTATTTATAACTAAGATAATTCACTTAAATATCGCAAACTAAAGTATCCCATTAGTAAAAATTGGACCGATATACAATTTTTCCTTATTTTCTTACCAGTGAAATTTTTAAATTAGTTCATTTACCACCAGGACCCTCATCATATCTAGATTAATCATCTTAGTTTATAATTATAACAATATTTTTATAATTGTAAACTTATTGATTTATAGTCATAAAAATTGTAAGTATTTTTTTATTATTATGTTGATACTTAAACAAAGATGATAAATATTCAGTCGTAAGAATTATAAAATACATATTACCCACTGACTGCAGCGCTTCACTATTAGGAGAGAATCGAAAACATTCTCGTCTTCAAACCACAAGTTATGAAAAATTCAATACTTCTTTCTTTAGACTTTTTCTCTATATGAATTTATCTAACCAATGCTTGTGAGTCGCATGAAAATTAGGAGCAACCAGGAAGGAAGAGTAAGGAGACCGAACTCTGTGTAGAAAGCGCTTTAAAAATCTCAGAGAAATATGCACGAAAAGTGCCAGGCTCACTGTGTTCTAGTTGATCGCCAATTAAGTCGATCATGCGCATAAGCTGTGTTGTGTCTCTGTTTCTCGTAAAAATTGTGCGAGTGAGATGTAAGATCTAATGTTTACATTTAGCCGGTCTTAGTGAGATACATATACAATACATTTCGTTTTAATAATTATGTATTTATTTTATTTAAAAAATGTCGTGTTGTGTGCCCGGATGTAAAGAAAGAACAAAAAGAGTCTAAAAACATTAGTCTCTTCTATCCTTCTACGGTATGTAAATATACTCTAGTTATAAACACAATTCTTCTTAACCATTTTCGCAAAATTTTTCCCTTTTCATAAATATATTATTAAATTATTTTGAAAATCTAAATAATATCACAATTGCAAATAAATAAATTTGCTTTTAAAATTAACACTGTTTAAACTATGTTATATTTACCTTGACATAACCACACTTTTCATCTATGTCAACACGGTCAACACTGAACTTTAGTTCAATGCGCATGATCGACTTAATTGGCGATCAACTAGAACACAGTGAGTCTGGCACTTTTCGTGCATATTTTTCAGACATTTGTAGAAGCAGAGTTCGGTCTCCTTACTCTTCCTTCCTGGGAGCAACACGTGGGTAAATCCATTTAATAAATACGATCATATTGTCGTTGGTTTGATAAACAATTCACAACGTATATTTAAAAATAATTTATCCTAGTTTTATTTAATTTATAAAACAGTCTAAACCGTAAGTTTGAGAATTATTATACACGTATTAATCCTATTAATTAATTCTTAACCCTCATTTATATATTCGTAAAATTCGTAAGATTGATTGTTTTTTAAACAAATTTTTTGCAAGTAGAAATTTTATTTTGTTAATTTTATTAAAAGGACATTTCTCGAAATTATTCAATTATTTTAAATACAATTTGCATACATATATTAGAAAAAATCAATAATTAATAATATTTTAAAGAATCTCTTTAAAGGAAATTAATAATTTGCTTCAATTCTTTTAAATCTTAAAAAATTCAATTATTTTAAAAATTAAATTCTTAGTAAAATTTAATTATTTTTAAAAATTGAATTTTTAGAAACATTCTTGTAATTTTCAAGGAATTTTTCGAAAAATTAATTTCTTTTTAAAAATCGATTACTTAAAAAAATTTAATTATTTTTAAAAATTAAATACTTCGAAAAGTTCAATTATCTCTTAAATTTCTTTAAATTTTTAAAAATAATTAAATTCCTTCGAAGAGTTTTAATAACATTTTTATTAATAATTGAATTTTTGGAAGAATTAATAAAAATATCATTAAATAAATAATTGATTTCGAAAAGTTTCATTATAATATTTGAAATAATTAATATTAAGTTAAGAGTAGGTATTTTCAATGAATTTTCTTTTTACTTGAAAAAATTCTTTTTGCTTGACAGTAATTTTTACGCCGAGAGCGCGCAATCAATCAGATTACAGTATTTTTTGTCACAGCATTTTTGACTATCAAAATTTTTATAATTCTTTTTAACTACAAAAAAATGATTGGTACATAAATAAATATGTTTTTTGTTCACTCTTTTAAAGAGAAGTGTCTCTTTTGCTTAATGAGAAACTTTTTCCTTATAAAAGTTATTTAAATCATATATATTATAGAATATTTAATTTAAAAAACAAAATGAAAAATCTATTTTAATTATTAATTTTTTTAGAATTCGTCATAACAGTAAAGAATGTGTTCTTAATTAATTAATGTTCTTTCATTCTTTCATTCATTCACTTTTTCTGTCCCTCACACTCTGAAGTTGTCTTTTGTTTATACTTTTGTTTTTTATTAACTTTAGATAGAAAATAGAAATCATCAGAATTTTTTTACTTCCTTTCATTAAAAGACTAAAATTTTGTTAAATATTATGTTTTGTCAAATTGAAATTATTTTTGTTCTTTACTTCTAAAAAAAATTAGAAAATTATTAAACAACTGTCATTGAGAAATACAAAATTTATTTATTTTGCATTTTTTTTCTTGAATCAGAATTTTTTCAAGAAAATTATTTTGTTTTAGAAAAATAAGAAAAATATTTGTACAATTTTTATTTTAATGTTATCTTTGGAACAAGATTTTCCACAGGAATTAAGACATTCAAAAATTTCAAATTCAAACGTTTTTTAAATTAATTAACTTATAAAAGTATTGTTTATAAAACATGAAGATATCGATTGCACACATTCGAAGAGTCGGAGTGATCAATTTCTTCATATTTTCTAATAATTAAAGATGACTGAGAGATAAAATCATTATTTTACATTATAAGAATATTGTTACCGTAACTTCATCAAAATTATTTTCATCATTTTAATTCAATTACTATTTTTAGAATTTTAAATTATTTTCATAAATAATAATTTAATTCCTTAAAAAAATTTTATTATTTATGAAAATAATTGAATTCCTTGTGAAATTTTAATTATTTTATGAATATAATTAAATGTTTGCGCAGAATTTTAATAAAATTTTTTATAATTGAATTCTTTTAAAAAATTTTAGTATATATTATAAAAATCATTGAATTGAGAAAAATTTTTGAAAATAATTGAAAATTCTGCCCAGAATTTTTTCAAAATTTTTTTAAATAATTGAATTGATTCGAAGAATTTTATCAAACTTTTTAAAATAATTGAATTTTTGCAACGAATTTTATTAAAATTTTCAAAAATAATTGAATTCTTATGAAGAACTTTTATTAATTTTTTTGTTAAATAATTCTTTAATTTATTGAATACAATCGAATTTTTTAATAATTGTATTGAAAATAATTGAATACCTGAGAAGAATTTTATTATTTTTGAAAAATACTTTAATTATTGCGATGAATTTTAATAATATATTTCTTTTTAAATAATTGAATTCTTTTGTGAACTTTTATTGAAATAGTAGATATTAAAAATAATAGAATTTTGATATTATTGAAATTAATTTAATTCTACGAAGAATTTAATTCAAATTATTTTGAAAAAAGTCGAATTGTTAAAAATTATTTCATTAAAATCTTTGAAAATTAATTTTAATAAAAATTTTAAGAATAATTAAATTTTTCGAGAAATTCCATTAACATTGTACTAAAAATAATTGAAATTCTGCGATGATTTTTATTATTTATGAAAGTAATTGAAAATCTACATACCTATTGAATTTTGTTATTTTTGAAAATAATTGAATTCCTTGTTAAAAAAATGTTATTCTTTATGAAAATAAATTAATTATTGCGATGAAATTTATAAAAAATTTGTAAATAATAGAATTCCTCTGAAATTTTTATTATTTAATTCATTCATTCAAAATTGTCATTTTCGCGAATTTTTTCTTAAGATTTGAACAGAAATTTAATAAAAAGAATTTTATTTTATTTTTTTAGAATTTTTGCAATTATTTTTAAATTCTACAAAATTGAATTTTTATTAGTATTTTCAACAAAAATTTAAATTAGAAAACTTTAAAATTTTATTATTTTTAAAATTGCTAATTTTATTTAAAAAAGGTAGTAAGAAGTTAGCCGCGCGCTTTAGCGCGCGATTTGTTGCTGTTAACATTAAAACTAATTTTTAAAAAAATAGAAAAATAATAAAAAAATTCTAAAATAAAATTAGAAAAATAATATTAAACTTAGGAACGGTCACGGAAATCAAATTTTAATTTCGTTACGATATTTAAAAACAAAACAAAATTATTATTACATTTTGATTTTGATTCGGTAACAAAATAAAAATATATTCCACTTTAGTCCCGTTTTCTGATATAGAAACAAAATTTCCTTACTATTCTGATTCTGATACTTCAACGAAACAAAATTTATAACCAATAGTCTATTTTACATTACAATCGGATTTCTTATAGAAACAGAAGACGATTTATCTAATATTAAATGTTTATTTGTCTCATATAATATTTGTTAGTGTTAATTAATTGCTTGAAATACTGAAATTAATTGGGTGAAATACAATTTATTTATTTTAAATAAAAATTATTTTATTCAAGTAAATATTTATACAATGAAAGAAAAATTTATTTGATTTGAATAATAGATTACTTGTCTGTTATCAACTAAATATTTACTTGAATGAAATAATTTTTATTTAAAATAAATAAATTGTATTCCACCCAATTAATTTCAGTATTTCAAGCATTTAATTACCACTAATAAATATTATATGAGACAAATAAACATTTAATATTTTATATAAATCGACTTCTGTTTCTATAAGAAAACCGAATGTAATGTGAAATAGAGTATTGGTTATAAATTTGGTTTCGTTGCAGTATCAGAATTAAAATAGGAAGTAAATTTTGTTTCGTTACAGTATCAGAATCAAAATAGGATGTATATTTTGTTTCTATATCGGCAAACGAAACTAAAGTGGAATAGACTTTTGTTTCGTTACCAAATCAAAATTAAAATACAATGATAATTTCGTATTGTTTTAAAATATTGTAACGAAATCAAAATTTAATTTCCGTGTCGGTCTTTGAGTTTAATATTATGTTTCTGAATGGATACATCTCCTTTTATCGCTGTCGTTTTAAAGTGCTGGTTTAAAAGAAGCGCACCAATTAGATTGCTGCAATAGCACACTTGCGTAGAATTGAAAGAAATTTTCTGCGAAAACGCGCACCAATCAGATTATAGTATTTTTACTGTTGCCTCGCGTAGCCGAGAATTTGGTAACAAAATATATATTTTTTTAAATTTAACTTCTGCTGAAGAACTTTTTAAATTAATACTCTCTAAATAAATTTTTTTCTTCTACCCTCTATGCGCCTACACTTAAAGAAATTTTTTTTGATTCAAATAACAAATTACATGTCTGCAATTAAATTAATATTAACTTGAATGAAATAATTATTATATAAATTAAATAAATATTTTCCAGTCTGGTAATTTAAAAAATTTGTTTTAATGTTAAAACTAAATGAATACACCTACTCTTAACTTAATATCAATTATTTCAAATATTATAATGAAAATTTTCAAAATCAATTATTTATTTAATGCAATTTTTATAATTTCTTCCAAAAATTCAATTATTAATAAAAATAAAATTAGTTAATAAAATAAAATTTATTTTATTAATTTTAATATTTTATTTTTTATTTATTAATAAAATAAAATTTTATTAAACCTTTTCGAAAGAATTCAAATATTTTCAATAGCTACTAATTTATTAAACTTTCTCTAAACAATTCCATTATTTAAATAAAAAATTCCAAAGAAATCAATTATTTTTAATAATTGTAATATAATTAGTTTATATGAACAATGTATATGAATATATATATATATATATATATATATATATATATATATATATATATATATATATATATATAAACAATAACTTAGGACCACTCTTCCCTAATAGAATGCAATTAATATTGAAAATTAATAATAAAATAAGGAAGTAAATTTTAGTTCCATAAAAAGAAATTGAAATTGTAAATTAGTAATAAAATTGTGAATTAATAATAAAATTCAAGTAAAATTAAATAGAATGCAATTTTAATAAACCAAACAAAAAACCATTTTAAGGAGTGCATTGCAATGCGTATATAAATATTAATTGATTGTGAAAGACGAAATATTTAACACTTATTGAACTAAGTTAAGAATTCCATACGTAAAAATCAAATTTTGGCTCTGAAAAGGGCCGATTGTTATTGTCACTGCTGTTGAGACGCAGTCTTATGTTCATTGAATCAAATGAAGAATTCTAAACGCAAAAAAAATTTTGTGGCCCTGAAAAGGGCCGATTGTTAATGATGAGAGGAGACACTTTAATAAATGCCCAATTGCTGCTTCAGAAATTCCAGTCTCGCCAGTGCTTGGTCAATAATACGGCTGTGCATTATCACCAATTTCACTTGGTCCTTCTTCTTGGCCACAGTTAATTTGACGTACATGGATCGAATTACAAGCATCAAGCGATGCATTCGAGCCAACATTGTCGGGTGATCCATCTTCCAAAAAACAAGTAAACGGACACTGTACTCGTCAACTTTGAAAGAGTTCCGAACAATTAATGATCAGTGGACCATTACCATTAAAAGATATTTATTGAGATCAGTAAAATACAGAGTAAAAAATACACATGTAGATTTGTAACTTAAACTATGGCTCCTATCTTTATTGCGATTTATCCATAGATATTCTTTTATGTTATGCTTAATATTTCTCTTTTAGTAAAAATATATATATCTATGTGTTTTAGGAAAAGTTTTATAAAAACCTAATTGATCTGATTTTCTATATAACAAAATTTAACAAAAAAATATAACTATGTAGGACTTATTTATACTATTTACATTATTTACAAGCTATTGTATTAGATGGTTAGGTAATTTATATTTAATTTTGAATGGCGCTTCGTTATACTTAATTTTACATGTGTTGCTTAAAATATCTAAATTATTTAACTTATTAGTATAAAAATCTTCAGTCAAACTATATATTATTTCTTTAACAGTTTTAATTTTTAATTTTCTATGCATAAGAATGACTTTTTTGCTTCTCTCAGCATTTAATATTAATCGTAAACATTTGTTTTGTAGTTTTTGTAACTTTTCAATATAGGTTTCATAAGTACTACCCCAGATGGGAGCTGCATATAACATAATAGGTCTAATTATCGTTTTGTAAATAATCTCTTTGTTTTGAATGCTCATTTTGCTTTTTCTATTTAAAAGGCAATATAATTGTCCAATTACTTTAAAAGTTTTAATTAGGGTTTCATTAATATGCTGAGTATAATTTAACTCGTTGTCTAAAAACATACCTAAGTATTTTACTTTAGGTTTAGGTTTAATTACTTCTTTGTACATTTCAAGTTCGGGGATAAAACTATCTTTTGGTTTGTGACTGAAAATTATAAATTCTGTTTTATTTGCATTAATTTTGAGCTTCCATTTGAGATAGTACTCTTCTAAAACTAAAATATATTTTTGGAGGTTTTGTGCTAATTGTTTCTTTCTCCAAGAGGAATTATATAACGCAGTATCGTCAGCAAATATTGCTATTTTGACTTTGTCATCCTTTGGTATGTCATTAATATAATATAAGAAAAGGATTGGGCCTAATACTGATCCTTGAGGGACTCCGGCTACTACATCTTTTACGGTAGATGTCTGACAATTTATATCTACTACAAATTTTCTATCTTTAAGATAGTTTGATACAATTTTGATCAAGTAATAATTTAATTTTAAATCATGTAATTTAACTATCAGACCTTTATGCCAGACAGTGTCAAATGCTTTTTCCATATCAAGGAAAACAGCGCCGGTGCTTTTATTTAAATTAAAATTTGTCGATATATGATCTACTAATCTAGCTAGTTGTTTAACAGTACAATGTTGAGATCTAAATCCAAATTGTTCAGGAATTAGTAGCTTATGTTCGAATTCAAAATTTTTAATTCTATTTAATATTATTGTTTCAAGAAGTTTACTTAGGCTGCAAAGTAGACTGATTGGTCTATAACTTAATGCTAATTTATGATTTTTACCTTGTTTTGGTATGGGGATTATTTTTGCACATTTCCAGCTTTGAGGAAAGTAGCCCTGTTTTAAGCAAGCATTGAAGATGTAGTTCAGTTGAACTATAGCTTTCTTTGGTAGCATTTTCAATATGATATTCTGAATTTTATCATGCCCCGGGGCTTTTTTAGACTTAGTTTTTGTAATTATCTTTTTGATTTCCCTTGGTGAAGATAGTTCTACTTCATCAAGGTTTATTATTGGATTTAAAATTTGTTCATATTTATCATTTATTTCTTTCTCAAATTTAGCGCTACCAAAGTTTGCTGTCAACCTGTGTACACCCTCAAAATTACTTGCTATTAATTCGGCTTTTTCCTCATCTTTGAAAATAATATTATTATTGTCCTCTAGGGGAGGAATAAAAGAATTATTTTTACCTTTTAAAGCTCTTGTCATTTTCCAGAGCGAATTATCTTTTATGTTTAGTGAGACTAATTTTTCTTCCCATTTTTTATTTCTAAATTTATTAATAGCATCTTTGATTTTCCTACTCGCTTCATTTATAAATGGTTTCAAATATTGGTATCTGTATTTTTGAGAAATTTTTCTAAGCTTATTCCTTTCATTTATTTGTTTTATTATTTCTGAAGGTAATTGATATTGATATTTAAAAGGTTTTGATCTAGGTATAGACCCATCCATTGCATTGTCAATTATATTTGTAAATTTTTCAACTTGCAAGTCAATGTCAGAAGTAGAGTCAATTTTGGAGTCAATTTTTAAATTTTTGTTTATTAACTCTCTAAATTTAGTCCAATTTGCTAGTTTGTAATTTAAAGTTGGAGGTTTATTTTGTGTGTGATTTATTAAAGAATTACTAAGGGTAATTAGAACTGGTTTATGATCTGAATTTAGTTCATCTAATGTAATGACTGATTGGATATTAGTAATATTTTTAACAATAGATAGATCTACAACACTAGGTTTTGCCTTACGATTGAAAGGATATAATGTAAAACTATAGGGTGCTTCGATATTTAGTAATGTATTCTCAACAAAATTAAAGAGGATTTTTCCGTTTTTATTATTATTATAACAATTCCAGCAAACATGTTTTGCGTTTAAATCTCCGGCAGCTATTATTTTATTATTTAAATTAAAAATACTGTCTAGATCTTGTTTGGAAATATTTTGAGCTGGAGCATATAAAGAAACGATTAATATATTATTTTCTAATTTAATGGCATGTGCTTCTATAGTTTCAAGGTTATCTATATGAATCTCAATACAAGGAATTTCATTTTTAACAAACAGGGCTACTCCTCCAGCTTTTTTGTTAACTCTATTTTTCCTATAGCATCTATAACCTGATGGAGGCTTTGGAAATATGTCATGTTTGAACCATGTTTCTCCAATTAACAATATGTCTACATTGTATCTTTGGAGAAAAATGGGCAATTCATGCATTTTATTATTTAGTCCATTTGCATTCCAATGTACTATTCTAAGTTCACGAAAATTATTTGGGCTATTATCCATCTAATTCCTGAGCAATTTTGGATATGGCCATTATTCTATCTAAATCGTTATCACAATTTTTTAATAAGTCTCTTAAATTATATGCTAATTTGATTACCTTGTTTAAATCACAGATTTTGTTTATCTCAGCTAAGACGTCCAGTAGTTCCTTGAATTTACCTGGGTTGTCATCACTTCTGCTTTGGTTTGTGTGTCTGCTGTAGCTTTCCTTGATGGGGTTGATATCGGCGTTTGCTATTGTGTGTTTGACCTTCAGTTGAGGGAAGTCCTCGGCAGTAAATTTCGGAGGGTCCTTAATTTTGGGCGGCAGGGCCCAAGTCAAGCCCCTTTTTTCCTCGATTTTGGTCACATGTTGAAGATAAGCTGGGCACTTGCTGTAGTTGGCTGGATGGGATTGTTTACAGTTTGTACACTGTGCTTTGTCCTCCTTCTTTTTTGGACAGTCTTTGGTGAGATGATCTTGTATGCACTTTACACATTTTGGGTCCTCATGGCAAAATTTGGATCCATGGCCAAATTTTTGGCATCTGTGGCACTGTGTAGCTTTTCTTTTGCTTTTAAACTTTTCCCACTTCACTTTCACGAACAAAATGTCCTTCACTTTAAATGCGTCACTGGATTTGGTGTTATTGTCCAATACTATCATGTAAAATGGGTTAATTTGTGGTTTATCTGCTGCTTGTTTCATTATAACACACTTTGACACTCCAATACCTTTGTCACTGAGATCACTAATTATTTCACTCGTGGTGAGAGTTGGTAGGCCTTTAACTACGAGACTTTTACTTTTTTCTTCCTTCGAAGCGTAAGTGAAGAATTTCGTTTTTCCAATTTCCAATATTTCAATAATACTGCGGTGGTCTTTGTAGCTTTTTGTATGTATAGTGTAGGATTCCTTCTTCAATGTGATGGAGATTTGCTCGGTGCTGTTTTTGTTTAATTCTCGCATGAGTTGTTGTACATTTGCCAGCTTTTGCGTGACAACTATTGGAGGCGGTCTTCCGGCCCCTTTGTCATCAGTCTTATCCGAAATTACATCCATTTCCTCTAAGTCATCCAGAAGATCGAATTTGTTGTGGGTTTCAACTCCTGTAGAAGGTTGTTGTTTCTTTGGATTAGCCATGTTCAATAAATTGTCAGATGGTCTTTTCCTTTGATGCATTTTTGTGTACATACGTCCACCTGCGCCGAAGCGCCTTCCAGAGATTGGTAACAACGTGCGCCAAACGCCTTCGTTGTTACTGTTTGCATAACGCGCGCCAAACGCCTTCGTTGATATACAATAGAGTGTGGGAAAAGATAAGAGTGCGGTTCATACGTGCGTATCGAACGAAGAACAGAATGAATCTGATGGATGCTTTCAACTCAAGCGTTCAAACAGTTCTGATCTGATCAGTGGACAGAGAATGTGGCCGTATTTATACGCTGCTGAGTCAGTGCGGTAGACGGTGGGGGAAATAGGATCCCCACTAGTTGGTAGAGAGTTGGAAGGGAGGCAAGCGGAACAGCGCGGTTGTTCAGTGCGTGGTTGTGTCAGAATGACCTGGTACTCCATAGAGACTTTGGCAACTCTTGTCTCATCGACGTGGGACAAAAAAGTATTGTCTGCATGATGCGCACAACAGAGAAAATTTCTCGTTACGCGCCAAAGATGAGATGGGAAGTAATAGAAATATATTTTTATTCTTTTCCATCTTATACTCTAAGTTCGCCAAGCCTTTTCTCAGAATATAAATTAGCTCCTTTTCTTTAAGAACTAAGAGTTTTTCCTGGGATATTTTATTTTGTAAATTATTTATAGTAATTTCAAAAATTTGTTTTAATGTTAATTAAAAACATATTCTTTACTGTTATGTCGAATTCGAAAAAAATTAATAATAAAAATAGATTTTTCATTTGGTTTATTTAATTAAATATTCTAATATATGATTTAA